AAGATATGAAGATAAGGTTGATTCATCATCCCATGGAAGACAGCTGGAGATGACAAGTCGACAGCTGCACTTCAAGTTTATCTTAATATTAWARHTTATCCATAGTTTAGATAAACATTATCTGTTAATAGAAGATTAGCTAAATAGTCTCACTAGATAGTTATCTTCTAATTAGCTTACTAGTATAAATAGGTGATTAGGCCTATTGTATTAAATGTCTCTTTTACGTTTTTCTTATTAATAAAGTGAAACCTTTGACGCTCAAGATTGTTCTTTAATGTTCATAATTTATTCTTGAGTGTTCATCAAAACACTATAATTTGTTTATTCTTAACTTGATTATCAGTGTTATTGAGAGATATGGGATCAACAGAGTCAAGAAAATCCTTGTGTGAATATCGAAATACAAAGGTATCATTATGAACTTGAGATTCTCGTATGCATGAGCTAGAAGCTTCTTCCGTCTTTTGTTTTGAAAACTTTCAAAAGTATCTGAGGAGTTACACTCAAAAGAATATGCATGACCTTTGGGAGGATAATTCAAGGCCTCAAGCAAATCTTGCTCGAAAACCTGTCTTATCGTTTCTGTGAAGTCATCCAATAATTTTGGATCCAGAGTGTTAAGAAAATATTTTGTGGAAGAACTCTTAATTTCATCTGGTTCTGGTTTGACCACCTCATTATCAATCTTCTTCCAGGTGAGGTCTAGGTCTGTATAACCTATCCCTGCTCTATCCTGTTGAGAATTTACTTTTTCATACACCTGCTGAGCATCTTGATATTTCTTGATCAAGAGATCTTTTCTTTGTAAGCTCTGGTGTAAGAACTCTCTTTCCTTTTGAAAATAATCTTTGAGGGCCTCAGAGTTTAATCTATCACGTTCCTTTTCTAAAAGCTCTGTTTCTTTCTTCTTTATAGCCGCTTTTAGTTCTAAGCACTCTGATTTTAGACTTGTTTCAGTGGATCGTTTAATTTGCAAAAGTTTTTCGTTTTCCACTGATAACTCTTGTTTCTCTACAGTTAGCAGCTCTGTCTCACGTTCAAAAAATAATTTTTTCTTTTCCAAAGATTTTCTTTTGGATTTTTCGATAGAGGGCTTTTGCTGTAGGTTAATAAAATCGTTTGTCAAAGCAAATATGCTTTCTTCCAGGTCAGAATGACAATAGCCAGAGATGGAACATACATGTGAGTCGGAGTCAGATCCAAACTCTTCTCTGTCGTTCTCAACAGCCATCCCATAGAAATGGGTTTGGTCTTCTTCATCAGATGAGGAGTCAGCGACCCAATTCTCCTGTTCAGCCATGAGGCTCTTTTGTGATCGATTGTACTTGTACTTGTTTTTGTAATACAGTTCGTCTTTCACCAAAGGGCCTCTGCACTCTTTGGAGTAGTGCCCCATTTTGCCACATCTAAAGCAGCGAACACCTTGCTTCTTCTGGTCCGATGGCTCTTCCTCCTTTTTGTTTGAAACAGAGGGAGGGTTCCTTCCTTCGAAATCTCTGCCGCTACTGCGATCATTCTGTCTTCCTCGCTTTTCGAAGACCTTTTTCTCAAACTTCCTTTGGAACTCCTTGGTGATCAGGGCCAAGGATTTTTCAAAAGCACCAATATCATCTTCTTCAGAGCTAGAAGCTCTGTCTTCTTCAACACTCTCCATGATGAGAGCCTTCTTTCTTTTCCTCCTCTCTTCTTTGGATCTACGCTCTCTGTGTGGCTGGCTAGATCCTGTCTCTTTTGAATCAGAGACAAGAGCCAGAGGTCCACCCAGAGCGACCTTGGCTTTCTGCACTTCTTTCTCTTGAGCTTGTAGAGTCCCGTATACGTCGTGCAACGTCCATTGCTCCAGATCTTGATTCGCCTGGAGAGACATTGTCAGGTTTCTCCATCCTGCATTCAATCTCTTCAAGAAGAGCATATTGTTCTCCTCTTGAATTCTGATCACGTCACATTTGTGACACTTGTTGATCAGAATTGAACCTGTGATAAGTCTGTTCTAAAGACTCATCGGGAAGCGTCTGGAAACTGTCGTACTCGTTCAAGCATTGAGCACGACAGTTTTTCTTCATCTTTATCCCTCCTTCCAACTGATTTTCCAATTCATCCCATAGATCCTTGGCAGAATCGCACGCGTTAAGAAATTGAAAAATCTCATTGGGGAGAGCCATATCAAAAGTCTTTTGGCTTTCTGATCGATCTCCACTCTGCGTTTATCTTCATCGTTCCAATCGCGACGAAGCTTGGGTACCTTCCTGGCAGGTACTTCAACCGTATCACCAGCAGCAGGAATATGAGGAATAATCGTGGTAGGGACATATGGGCCGTTTAAAATTGACTCGTAAAGTTCGAGGTCAAGGCCCTCATAAAAATTTATCATCCGAATTTTCCATTGGGGATATTCTTCCCTAATGAGATTCGGAGGTTGTGTCAAGGAACCGGCACTATACATGGAGTTCCATGATTGAGACGACATTTTTGATTAAAAAAATTGAGAAGAAGATTGACGAGAAAGTGATGAACGTCGTTAAAAATGATTTCCAGATTACGTAAAAGCAAACGTTTTAAAAGAAGTAAAATTTGGAGTGAAATTCCTTTTTAAAACGAATTAATCAAAAATAAGAGTAGAATCCAGATGGATATCGAGCGACTAATCAATGAGTTTGATTAGCAGGCTCTGATACCAATTGTTGGAACCCAGATACACGTATTTGCAGAAAACACGGTTTATAAGTGATAAGAATGAAAATCAAACAGTGTATCAAAGACGATTAATCGAAATATTCAAAATAAATATAAGAACGGTGAAGGACTTGAATACGTCGAATGCTTTTATTAGATGAAAGTAAAAGAACAATCAATCTAAAAGTAATCTCACAATAAACAGGTATAGTATAAGTCGGCACTCTCAGGTGTTTTGAACCTGAGGAGGAAGCCTCCTTATATACGCGTACGTCTAACAACTATGCTACAAATTAGGCTTGAAACTCTGAGTCGCGGAGTCTGCATCTTTGTCTTTGACTTCCCTTGAAAAGCGGAGCAGACTAGGTCAAGCCGTCTCAAATCTGTTAGACGCTTGTGAGAATGTCTGAACTTGCACGCGTGTTCCATGGAGAATGTGACCAGAAGCTCTGCATGAACTATATAGAAGCTCTTCATGTACTATGCAGAGGCTCTGCATGTACTATGCAGAGGCTCTAGGTCTTGGAGTTGTAGCTTTGTGTCAAGCGATTATGTTTTTTTTGGCGCATAAGGCTTGATTGTCCACGGGGATAGAGCGCGAGCTTTGTATGAATGGAACTTTCACTCTTTGAGTAAGTGCTCTGGTTCTTGATTTTCTGCATGAGAGCTCTTAGTCCAGACCGCTTCAATAGACTAAATCCTATTGACTAGAGTAAGAGACTTCTTACTTACACTTTCACAAGTTGGGGTCTAACCCTTTTCCAACATGATTCTTAAGTTTATCCAGTCCGTTAATCATCTTCCTATACATGGTCCCTAACAAACCATAATCACAATTGAAGTCTTATTATTGTGTACAAATGAGGTTAACAAGTCAAATTTCTTGGATATGCCGGTGAATCAGTGATGGAAAAGTCTACACTAATGTTCGTCAACCAAAGATCTTTTCCTAATTGTGTAAAGAAATTATTAAAAACTTGAGAGCAAAGATTTACATTTGCTAGCTACAAGAACTATATTCTTTAACCGACTTTTAGGTATACAAATCTAAGTTAGAAATACTCTACAAATTTAACAAAGTGATGCTTTCAACTTTTTAAGACTTAGAACTCATAAAGAACTCGCAAGTGATATTTTCAGATGTCACTACAAATAAATTAGGTTTGTAGGACGCCCTAATAAATAAATGTCCTAATACATTTCTTTATAAGATTTAGTTTATGAGACCAAAAAATAAAATGTCTTACTAAAAGCGTTGTAATAAGTTTGTATGACGCTTTTGGGCGTCATAACAAGTTTTTAGAACATTTTCAATGCAAAGCATGACATTATCAATTTTATAGGACAATTTTAAAAAACTGCCCTATAAACCTATTTTTTATAGGATACTTGTGTTTATAAGACATTTTTCAAATAGTGTCATAAAATAGTTAATATGACGTTTTCTTTTTCATAAAAGTGTCCTAATAAATGTATTACACCACCCAAAAGCATCCTATAAGCTTTATTTTTTGCCCTATAAATTATGTGTTATGAAGTGGTCTATTAGTAGGTCTATTTATTGGTGGAGTAGTATAAACTCAATCTTGTTGTAGTGTGTCCTATTAGGTGGTTAATAATGCTTTGTTCCCTTGTAGAACAATTTGCATGATGAAAAATATACATTTGAATCTTAAGCTCGCGTTGAACCCTACTATTAAAATAATTAAGTATCATTTATGTGCAGTAGTTATCTGGTGGTAAGTGATGTTTTTGGTCCTTGTGCTTGCTGCTGCTCATCGGAACATTTTGTACTTACCAGATAAATGAGTGACTTACAACGTTGTGTCAACTCCTTTAATTAGCATGTGGTTGTCATCTTTTGAGAATAAAAATTCCATGCAAAGAAAGTATTTGTACTACTTACTACCTAGGAGCAGAGACTTCAGTTAATTAGTTCATGCTCTTCACTCACAGATGTCTTCACTCTTCAACTTCAGTGTTGAACTCCAGTTAGCAGCATTTAACATAAATTTGTGTACTCCTGAGTTCCCTTATCCCTGCCACTGATGGCACTCGCTGATCAATGCAACTAGAGCTCAAACACTAAAGCCAATGCGGTGAAGCTAGACACTGGTTCAACAAGGACATTGAACCTTCACACCTCTTGACTCGCATCATAACTTAACCAAAACCCCCCATCATTATCTTATATAATCTACATAACACCACATCGCCGATAACACTAGCAGCTTAGCATTTATTGAAGTCTGACCTTGCAGTTTGTGCAGATGAAGACGTTATAATTGGCAACAGAGAAAACAAACAAACCACCACCAAAGACATTGTCAAAATTTGTGATATCCCATTGAAAATTAATTCTAGAAACCTGCAAAATGCTGCTATATATCCTTTAGGCATCACTGATTTTGGTTGTACAAATAAATAAATACTCCAATTAACCATAAAAATTACTACTACAGGACAGGTCAACAATTTCACATTTAGTATAGGAAGGATGGATAAGAATCCTGAATTTATTGGATTTCCCCATCCTCGCCAAGCTCCCCATCTTCCAGCTCCTCATGACCACCACCATTTTTACGAGAATCTCTCTTGTGTTTTTTATGCTTGCTTTCACTATCTGATTCAGGTGAATATGCATGCTGCAATGCAATACCATTTAAAAAACCAAGTTATACATACATATATCATCAAGTATAAACACTCTGATATCAGATTTCGTGAATCTACCTTTCTTGACTTTTTGCGCTCACTGCCATGTCTACGAGACTTCTTACCAGAGTCTTCTCTTTCATCCTTATCAGAACTCACATCGTCCGTCACTATGCTGCTTTGATGCCGCTTCCGATGTTTTCTGTCTTTTTCTTTCTCTCTTTTCTTCTCCTCCTTAATCTCCAAATTCTCGATATCTGAATCATCCTTCTTTTTATCTTTCTCTCTTTCACGCTCCTCTCTCTCTTTCTCCTTCTCCCTCCGTTCTTTCTCCTTTCTCCTCTCTTTTTCCTCCTTTCTCGCCTGAAGAAACAAGAAAATACCAACTCAAAACCAATCACTTTCATATCACATCTTTAATTGCTTTAGCATACTATCTGAAAATTCAGACGATACCTTCTCCTCCTCCCGCTTCCGTTCTTTCTCTTTTGCCTTCTCCAGCAAACGAGCAACATATTCCTCAAAGGTCTCACGAGCAAGGCTCTCATCACCAACAGCTCTAATTCCATGTCAAGAAAAGAGGAAAAAAAAAATGAGGCAGCTCTACTGGAACATTCGTTTCAAATAACAAATATGGGAAGCCTCATCAAATACCATACCTGTATTCGGAGCTTTCCTCAAAGAGTTGCTGGCATTCCTCCCATGTGGAAGAGGCAGTAATTTCCTGAGTTCAAGCACCAAAAAGTGAAGGTAAGATGATCTACAGAAGCTCTTTTGAACATGCAGTATATCATTAAGTTTGCCAATGATACAGGCTCCATGTACCTTGATGTCATACAATAACTCAGTGAAATCTTTGGCAAGACGCTGACGCTTTTTAGCTTCCTTCTCTTCTTTCTCCTTGGCCCTCTCAAGTAGGTCTTCAAACACAAGCTGGAAAGAAGTAAAACATTGCAAGACTCAGAAGACACTTAAACAAACAGCTTTAGACAGCACTTACGTATATTTATGAAAGGTGTCGATACCTTTTTGGCTAAACACTAACATGACTTGCTGATAGTACAACAGCAACAGCAATAACAAGAAATACCTTCTACTCAAATTTGCTGGTTTAATCTATCATCCAACTATATTTTCCAAGAGACATGAACTGTCAACAGCTTAAATTACACTCTGAGACTTGCTGTCCAGTGGTCAGATTCAGGTTTCTAAACCTCAAAGCGCTCTCCCATCGAAGATACTTGAAGATAGAAAAGAAGAAAAGAGCATTGTAGAAAAGCTTCTTCTTTCTCCTGACTGGTCACAATTGTTCCATGGGAATTAAAACTTATATGGGAAACTCTTCATTTTTGTCATGCCAAAATGGTGGAAGACCTTGTCATACCACTAAATTGAGGGTCACAAAGTCGAGCTTCCTGTTTAGTAATGCAATAGGTTGGTTACCCATGAATTATCATCCTAAGGGATAATAAATAATGAATTCAAGAGCTAGACCCGATAACCTGGTTTTCAATCCCAAAGAGCTTGACTCCTGACATAGAACCTTTAAGTACGTGTAGATGTCATAAATGAAGGCCAATTTATTAATGGTAAGCTGTTGTAGTTTTAAATAACACATAAAGTTCACTACACTGCTTATCAAGTCCAATAGGAAATCAAAACATTTACCATCCTGCTATTACTTTTCCTTTTTAACAAGTATCTTTTGGTATTATTCTGGTATGATACCCCTTGAATGCACTCTAAATTATCTTTCTCATTTGTGTTTCTATCTTACCTATCCGCCTGAGCTTAGCTTTTACCTTCAAGAAACATTCAACCCTAGTCGGTCTAAATTTTGAGCAACCAAGTGGTAACCAACAGAAAGGAAAAAGTTCTCAAAGCATCATAAAAGCCCCTTATTTATCTCACAACAAGCCTAAAAGCAATTTCATTTGTTGGCATTCTTGTATGCTGTCCTTCGAGCCAATCTTAGATTATTCTGGCATTCTTCTTTCTTATCTATCCACCTCAGATTAGTGATTAGCAATCAAAAACATTTAACAACCTAGTATCCCCAATTTTAGTTCATAATAATTGGCAAACGACCAAAATAACAAATTGCACAGGACCATAAACCCCTGGGTATCACACAACAGGCCTAATATAACCAGCACTCAGTTTTGCGTTTCTACAACACTTAAGTTATCTATCATATATCTTATAGGACTTCCAAAGAGCTCTCATCCACATTCATCTCCAAATAGAAGTATCCAAGACATTTCCATCCATAGAACACTCGGAAGACATTTGACTTGCAGAAGCTAACATAGAGTCTTATCATACCATAGAAGCAATTGTAGGCAGTGGTAAATAATTTCCTCAAAACAGCTTCTTGAACCTACCACACATTACCAAGGAAACAGGAATAAATTTTATGATCTGGTGACCAAAACTTGAGAGGAGAAGGTATAAAGGTCCTTCACCAAATTTCATATGATAGATTCAGAAGCAAAGACTAGGAAGATGATTTGGTAACTGTAAGTGGATGGGTGTTTCAATCCATGAGCAATTATAAGATAAGCTTTCAACCAGATTTTAGAGCTACTGTTACTAAAGAACTTGGGACTGAGAATATAGACAAATGAGTAACAAGGAGCAGTTAGAGTAGTAATATAAGATAGATAATCCATAAAAAAGGCAAGCACACTTGAGCATATATGTTAAACTGTTGACAGCCACATACTTCCAAGAGTTATACCTGCAGACTAACATCGGATAAAGATGAGATGATGTCCTCCTCAATAGCAACCTTGAAATCTTCAAGTGTCCATGTCGGCGCAACAGTGACCTATATAGAGGTACATAAGAACACAAATACAGATCACATATAAGCATCAGAGTAGGTCTACGTTACACCCATACACAAAGCAAATACAGCTACCTTCTTCAATTTCATAGCATCTTTCACACGCGTTTTATCTTCATGATACTGTCAAGTAAACAAAAAAAGAACATTTAGAGCTCTGTAACAGAACATACTTTTACGGCCTTAACGTCATTAGACATAATAATTGTGAAAACATTTGACGGCCTAAAATAAGACATCTTCTACAAATTCACAAGACTATTAACACTCCTCAAATAGCCAGCGCCACAAATCCCTCTGCGGATATCACTTTCACCCGTCACTTTTTGATCTTAAATCACCAAACAATCTCTATTACCCCAAACTTCATTGGAATAGTGAAAAGAACCACTAGAATGATCCATAACAAAGCAAGACTTGATAATTTAAAAAACACACATGATTAATACTAAATAGGTAGAAGGAAATGAAGCCAAAACACAGCATGTATATATTAAAACCAATGGTGGTCTTGCAGCTGTTCATATAAGGTGGTTTCAGGCTAGCAGCACGTTAACAACAATCCTATGAACTACAATTACATCTACATAAAGAAAACATTTAAACTCAAGATAACCTTAGAATAAGCTAAAGAGAATTACCTAAGTTTGCCCTGAGGTAGTTGCACATGGATAACTAAACAATTTACAAATATCAAATTATCGGGCCATAGGCATAAATTTGACTATCACCTTAGAATTTACATGTACCATAATCATCCTATAATTTTGCAAAAGGTACAACTAATAAAAAGTTTTTAATTCATATTAATTAAAAAATATGAATCAAATAAAACTGATCTTCATTGTGTAAACTTATATTCATATGTTAGTAAATTAATTTTAAACTGTATATTAAAATATATTCCTACCACCAACCCTCTCGTCCCCTTTTCTATTTAACCTCCCAGTCCATCCCCGGCCTTCCCAAGCACCATTTTCTAGAGACAAAGCAACAACCGAGAACCCTTCGCCTGATTTTTAATGTAAATCACTTCCTAGTAATCTTTTTTCCATGCAATATTTTATAATTCTATATGTATATTCATGCCTATATATACTGGGTCTTTCCAACTATAAGAATTGCTCTTCTTGTAGCATGGCAGGTAGCTTTTGTTATGCAAGGTCTTTTTTTTTCTGATGAGAGAAATTTGCAGATGAGAATGAATTCCGTAGGGCTGTGGTGCAAGCCAGGTGATTAAAAATCCTCAGAACAGAGTGCCATAAGTAATGGCTCTTAGTCTTGCCAGCAGAAATCAAATAATAAAGATACCATCCTTCCAATCCCCCTTGACTTTTATACATCAATGGTGGAGTGTGTCAGGCAATCAAAGCTTGTACATGTGACATATAGGTAGGCATTAGAGAGTTCTCTTTTCATTTTAGTTTTGTATATACATATACTTTCCTTTCTTTATTTCCTCGATCCAAAGTTTCATGTGTTTCCAATTAGTTTGTTACAATAGTGCTAAAAACCCCGACCAATTGGTGTTTTTGTAAAATTTGATTTTGTTATGCATAGATGATCGATGCCCGTCCCAAACAACTTGATATTTTGGTTCCCATTTACATTATTCTCAGAATTTGAGATTACCCTGTCAATTGTGATGGTGCTTTATGAGTCAAGGCTGCAATTAGATTATATCTTTTCTAAAGATCTGCAAGCAACAGGGCAAAGATAATGATGACAATAGTTCATACCTGGGTTGAGGAGTTGGAAGTCAGAGAGGGATTGAGTTGGAAAATTGTAGTTGAATCAAACAAGGTCTTACTTATATAGCCTTTGTCGTTAATGTTTGTAGCATAAAACATAATTAGTTCTTCCAGTCCTCGTCTCAGTCCTTAATTATGACGATTAACCTGCTCGAATAGTTTTAAGTGATGGATCTCAAGTTTAAGACCCTGATATGTTTCCAATATCCTCTTTGTCCATGTACATTGATACAAAGGTACTCTTCTTACAATCATTTAATTTTTTGTTGTACTAAGAAAAATAGCATGTAATCAAACGAGCGATGCTATGGCTACATCCCCACAGATCTTCAAACCTCTATAAAGATACGATTAGACACTAACGTCACGTACTTTGAAGTTTGATCTGTTTCCAGCTTCCTTCATCTCAATCACTCTAATTCCCTTGTAGTGACTTTGTTAATTTATCACCAAAAGATCATCGCCGCTTCACAAAGTTCTCATTATTTTCATCAACTACTTATCAAGACAATCATTTCGCATCATTAACCTCAACATCTTTGACTATTATCTCAGGTTCTCATCCTTGTGCATTTGATGTGATTTAGGTTCCCGATTTTTTTTCATTGTCTTCATCAATTTGTATACCTTACTTGAAACCTCCTTCATTCCTTGGTTGTTCTTACAAGTTCTCATATGATTACCACTAGTTTCTCCTACTATTTTCTTGGCTACACTTTTGGTTATTTTACACTTCTTTATATTCGCTACAAGCATCCGTAGCGATTCTTTTTTCCTCTAATAGCTTTTAAAACCTCCTTGTTCCACCACCAGATGTCTTCAGTTTGATGTCTAATTCCTAGTCCTTCACTAAACTTCAAATGCAGGGAGTCAGCTCTTTCCACATTTTATTAGCAAACCCAGCAATACGTTAATCTCCACTTTGAATATCTTATCATTTTAAACATATTTACGTACCCTGTTCATATTCTTATAATTAAGACAACGCCAATGCTCTCGATTTCATAGATTTTCCACTGATGGACATGGGTAAAGTCGCTAACAAGTACCTTTTTCTCCAACTCTTCAGTAACATCCTCAAACAGATCTTTTGGAGTCGAGCCAGAAGTATTTGAAGCAACAGCCTGATAAGCTACGGACTCCTTGACCTAAAAAATCAGGACATGAAGTATATAAGCAATCTTATACATGAAATGGAATTAGAAAAAAAAGAACTCTTTTATCTAGACCTAATGATGCAAATGGGCAAGTGACTATACTACCTTCTGACAATAGTCTCGCCATTGAGTTTTTGCTGTAAGTGCGCCAGAAATTACATGTTCTTCCATCATCTTCCGGAATTCATCGCGGTTTTTGCGCTCCACCCTTTTTATATGTTCCTTCAGGAAATGAATAACTGAATTTAAGAACGTTGGACAGACATGAAGGTAGCATGCACCTTCAACAAAAAGATAGCATCGAAGAGCACCTTTTTAATTTTCCTCTGTTCGTCCTCTTCCTTCTCCAGGTCACGGATATATTCCTGGAACCACAAAAACATTATAAATTGCCTAGTGGTAATGACAATTAAGGTTAGCGTAGAAAATTTACCTGGAAAATCTCCAAACGATCAATTTTTTCAAGCCGTGAACATCTTTCATCATCTTCCAACCGATCTTGAACTTTCCGCCACTGAGTATCCACCTGGATAAAAAGATATTGTGTTACCATCCAACAAATCAATTAAAATAAGGATGCCACTGCATTAGGCAACAGCCTCACCTTGATCAAGCCACAAGATTCCAAAAATTGTCTGTACTCTAATCTGTACTGCCGTTGCTCCTCTTGAGCTTTTGCCCTCTCCTGAAATTGAAAACCATGAAGTGCAGAGAGAAATAAACATAAAGAAATATAAAGCAACTACACTACACCTTCGCCTGATACTGCAGCGGGTCAATTTTGTAGGTATTTTAAGAATACAAAACAGCAATATCCACCTACTACATAACAGACTATACTATATAGAAAGTTAATATCACAATACCCAAATAAGAGCATAGATATCAACTCCAAGAATCCGTAATGGGATCTAGTAATCCTTAAATTCCTTTAAAATCAAATTTTTGTTGCAAAAATCAAAAAGAATTCTAGGTTTCATATAAGAAATACCAAGTATCATTGATCATAGATTGTATTTTTTAAGCTTCAAACCTCTCAGCTGGATAAAAAAAAAAATGCTCCAAAGTATGTCAATAGAGAGATGATATGTTAATGATGAGCTCATGCAGTAGCTAAAGCAGAACTTACTTTCTTCTGTAGATCAACCAGATAGTTCTGAAAAAGATCTTCTCGGTCAGAAGGTCGTTCCACAGCCTTATACCGCTCATCGTCTTCAAACATTGCCATAGCTTTGCTGGATTACAAACATACAAGTACAAAATATATTACATCTATGAATCAAAAGCTTATACCAAAACTATCATCAAGATCAACATTGTTTCTATAAGAAGATGAGACGTACCTCCATCTCATGGATGATGTCAATTCCTTGGACTCCTGAAAAGGATTTAGAACAGAGTAGCAGACATAAGATCAGCTGGATAAAAACATCATAGCCTATACATGAACTCATGCTTACCAGATTTATGATCCATGAACTCTATTCTGCTTTCAGTAAAATAATATAAGTACCAAAATTAGAAAAGTAGTAATGATACAGATGGAAGGAATAATCAGCAAGTTATGTTGCAAAAATAACTTTGTCAAAGTCGGTTTACAACTATACACATGTTGTGCAAACTATATTTTGGTTTTGGCACATAGAAAGCCCAGTAGGTATTCAAGTTCTAACAGTCGGGCCAGAGCTTTAAGTTAACAATTTGAATCAACATAAAGATAACCATCAAAACAAATTAACATGTCAAAAATTATACCATAATCGATTAGTCAGCAGAAAAGCTATTTGGTACTGTTATTGGATAACTCAGCTTACATAATATTGGCAATTCAAGCAGGGAGAAAGAAGGAAGGTGCGTGTTAGATCTTGGTGTACATGTATGCCAGATACAGTAGTATGAAAGTCCCACTTTGGTATTTTGGGTATAAAACCCCAACTTCTCTCTCATTTCCATTAGTTTCTCTAAATTTCCAGCCAATCCAGTCCATAAAATCTCTCTATGCTTTCTATACAAGCTTCTCTTCTATGTTGAAATCATATAGTTCCAAAGCATAAGGTACAAGTAGGTACGCATTAGGTCCTAATTTTTCATGTTATAAAAGGATCTCTACACAAGTGGCCTTACAAAGGTGCACCAAGCTGCAACGGTCTCCCTTGAGCATAAAGGCAAGGCACACACTTCAAGAGTGATGTTTGCACCCCAAACAAAGTAAGACACATGACTTAAAAAGAGTGAAAATAAAGAACAAAAAACGATTATACAAGTACAGATACCCAGTAAGAATTATTAAAAGGAGGTACAGAGACACATACAAGCTAACACGACATGCATACATAGTGGGTATGTAAGTGCTTGAAAATTGATTAACAATTTAACAATAATATAATGTCAATGAACCATTCATATTCATTAACACTATTAGCATCATAGCATTAACAATATACCAACCCAAAAACATAATCATTAAAAAGATGAGGCGGCAAACCGAAGGTTGAAAGACAAGATAAAGAGAGGCCCTATAGTTATTTCTAATGTTTTTTTTCCTTTTTGTGTGGTATATTAGCCTATTAGTTAAAAAGATGTATAATGTGCTAGAACTCCATTTAAACAAAAAGGTCCTATACAAAATAATTTATTTATTCATCAAAAAAGCTAGAAGAATCAACTAAAGCCTTGCTTCAACAAATCCAGGTGCAATCCTCATCAAGGCCAGTCGATCTCCAACTAAGGTAAGCTGACGTTAGGCATCAGAATTGTGCAACAATGAACCTTCGCCTAGGCATGCCATTCACAATTATTTTAAGTTGATCAATAGTCAAGTTTCCTTATTTCATAGACATGATATTGTTGAATTACAATTCCTTGAAATTCTTAAGTCTTTACTTTAGTCCTCATACATTCTAAGCTATTGGTTCCGTAATTCCGTTACGAAGTCCTTAGCAAGGTTCGATTGACCCATTTTGATTCACTAGTCAGCATCCTCCTTCAATTATACAGTGATCTTGTTTCGGATGAGGCAGACTGATTTCAGAGCTCTCTATGGTGTTCAACTGACTCCATGAATTTCAAAGTATCTCATTGCTCTTGGAGCCCTTATAAACACTTTAATGGATCAACTTCTCTTGCTCATTCGATGAGTCACTAAACCTCATGAGTGGTGTTGACGTTTCAATTTCTTACCCCTTCAAGATGGAGATAAGAAAGGAAAAAGTTCAAAATCAAAGAAATGCAAGGAAAAATCAAAACATTAGAAGATAGAGTTAATGCTGATATCTTGTGGGATTTTTACTGGTGGAAAATATTATTATGTAACACTGGAACCGTACACACATATAGATGACAATCTATTTAATCCAAGAAATTTTTCTTCATGGATCCAAAGGCGCTCACTGAAAGTAAAATAATGGCTTTTTTGCAAAGGTCGAATCCTTCAATCCTACCAGCCATTCCGTTCAAGAACTTTAGAGCACCATCTCACTATGTCATAGATCGACATACTATTACCTAGGTTCCTAAACTTGGCAACTGACTAGCACTCTACCAGACTTGCAAAAATTAATGAGCAGTACTCCCCCTTAAAGGCAGCAATAAAGTGGTTCCTCTTCTCTTCTTCCTCTTGAACCATGGAGAGTTTTAATTCAGTGATTTAGGAGCATAAATGTAATACTAGGAGTTGATTAGTAAAAACTAGTCAAGGATGGCTGTAATGAAGTAAGTTTAATGTAATGCACGTTAGGCAGTTGGGTATGATGTACTTATGTTACTTATTTTAGCACATTCTAACATCTTCCTGTACCTGTTGATGATATGTACAACCTGGGTCACTGCTATCAGGATGGGCATCTGGAATTCTGGATTCAGTTAACAGATTGACCAGGTGGATCCAGTTAAAGAGTTGGATCGTAAGTAGGGTTGGATCATAAGTAGGGTTGGATCACAAGTAGGGTCGGATCATAAGTAGTATGGATCGGGTGACATGTTAAATCTGTGAACCAAAATAATAAGTTGCTAATAGAAGCAAAAAACAACATTAACAAAACAGCAGCAACAGAACTAAATAATTACCCTTGCCAAACAAGTATTAAGGAAAAAAAAAAAAATCTAAATCGGTCAAGCAAGCAGATATGCTATGGTAATAATTGCTCAAAAGAGTGTGACAGCAGTCAAATTCGAAATCCCAGGTTAGCTATAATTAAGAATATATTAGTGTTATTGAAGTTAATTTATAGATTAGGAGTTAGTTAGATTAGTTTAGTTGAGAARTTTTAARAAWTTCCGGTAGTTGCTTAGAAAGTCCGGTTCCGGTCCGAAGTTATCCGAAATGTCCTATACAGTACCAAATGCTCTAATTTATACCCAATTTATATAAAACACTAAGTTTTAGTGTTTTAAATATAAAACCTTTCTATTT